TCCACCCACTTCTGAGGGCACCATGTGTGCGTGAAGAGGCTTGGTGAGCACGCACTGGGAAGGCAGCCATGTGCAACCCAAGGGAAGAACCTTCATCCCATGCTGTAGGGGTGCTTTCCATTCGTGTAAAGCCGAAAGTCTCCCAAGTGCTTCTGCAGCTCTTGAAAAGCAATCAAAGGTGACCACAGCTTCACCACAAAAGCCTACACAGCGCAGACAGGCAGAGCACACCTCTGTGTGTGTCATCTGGCAAATATGGTCTTCTCTTTTTGTTTGACTAACAGGTCTATAAACCCGACAGAATGTGCCAACATTTGTACAGTCTACTGACAAGGCAACTTGATGAGCAAAGTCTAGTCTGTGTTTGGACAAGATACTGACAGTCGTTTCCATTTTCCATAGTCTCAATAAGATCTTAACAGAAATCACAGAGATGATTTGAAACTCCATCTTGCAAACTACCTAATATCTCGGGGACATTCTGCTAATGCAATGATTTGAAGTGGTCATCCCTTGGTGTACTGCAGGGGAAAAAAATGCTCACTGGTAAGATCGGAAAGGATCAGCTTTCTACCTTAAGGGGACCAAACGTCTAAAATACATTTCTCCTTTGTCGTTTGCCCGCAAATGCACACAAGTTAGGACCTCTATTAGCAGCAAGTAGAACTTTAGTCAGCCTCGTAGAGCAATTCATGGGTCAGTAATAAAATAATGCCTGCGTGTTTCTGCTAACTCTGTCCTCGGTTTTCAACTCAGCAGTGATACTTGTGGGTGAAGACAAGACACACGAGTCCTTTGGATTGATTGGGGAATAACTGTCTCATCATAAGCTGTGAGATAAAGTCTCTCCACGTGTGTGAGAGATCTCTGTTTACCATGCCCAGTCCAAAATGCTCTTCTGTACAGTGTGCAGTCTGCTGGGTTTTGATTGCTAATATCCCTAACCCAGTAGTATCCATTCATCATTAGAATAAATCATTTAGGTTGGTTTTTTTTTTCAGCAGTTATCTGTATCATACAGCAATGATACGATCCTAACTTGATTTTCACCCTGTAAACTCAGAAAACATGATCATATCAATAGTGTTAAAAATTAAACAAGCACTATCTCAATACAAAGTCCAATGCTTCACCCTCCCCCACACACAAAACAGATGGTTAACGTTCAAGATTACAACATGCTGAAGTCAAGCACTTAAGTCAGGAAGGCTACAGTGAATGCCCCACTCTTGTGGGCCACACACCAGGTTAACAACATCAACAGTCAAGAGAAACATAAGCAACAGCAGCTACAAAAAGGCGGAGGACCAAGGCCTTGTCCACGGGACACCAAAAGCAGTGTGCCTTTCAGCCACTAATTTTGGGGCAGCAATGTGGATTCTGTATTTCTCTTTCCCCAAATCTTCCCTACCCATCACCAAAAACTGGGACTTTCATGCCCCTCAGAGGGATTTCCGGGGACTTGGGTCTTTCGGCATGAAAACTGGGACAACACTAAACAAAGAGGGTCAGCTATCACTCTAACCTAAAGGAAGCTCAGGGTCTTAGTTACACAACTGCATGAATTTTAGAGTCAATCAGCTGCACTTACTGAGTAACCGCCATGCACTAGGCACCGGGCAGGTCTTATCATCTAATTTTTTTCTAAGATTTATTTATTTATTTTATTGGAAAGGCAGATATACAGAGAGGAGGAGAGACAGAGAGGATCTTCCGTCCAATTGTTCACTCCCCAAGTGGCCACAATGGCTGGTGCCCATTCAAAGCCAGGAGCTAGGAGCCTCTTCCGGGTCTCCCATGTGGGTGCAGGGTCCCAAGGCTTTGGGCTGTCCTCAACTGCTTTCCCAGGCCACAAGCATGGAGCTGGATGGGAGGTGGGGCTGCTAGGATTAGAACCAGCACCCATATGGGATGCTGGCACGTTCAAGGCAAGGATTTTAGCTGCTATGCTATTGCACCGGGTCCGGTCTACATTTAATTTTTAAGGAATATTTACAATGGTACTCTAAGGTAGCTCTTATAGTCTCCATTTTCCAGACAGATAACTGAAGCTAAAAGTCTAGACTGTGTCACTTAAGCTTGTGGAAAATAGAAAATGGATTTTGGTCCATGTTTCAGCTATCAGAATAAACCAAGGGTGAGCAACAATGGCAGACAGGAAAATCAAATAGAGGTGACGGAAAGACAGCAAACTCTGCGGGGATAAGTCAGGGTCTGCCAGTCCCACCATCCTCCACTGCTTCCAGCTGACTGCTTTTGTTCTGGAAGTTTCAACCTTGCTTATTAAGAGGTCTACTCCTGGGCCTGGCTTGATGGTTCAAGGGCTAAATCCTAACCTTACAAGTGCCGGGATCCCATATGAGTGATGGTTTCTGCACTGGCTGCTTCACTTCCCATCCAGCTCCCTGCCAGTGGCCTGGGAAGGCAGGAGAGGATGGCTCAGAGCTGTGAGACCCTCCACCCTAATGGGAGACGCAGAAGAAGCTCCAGGCTCCTGGCTCCTAGCTGTTGATCAGCTCAGCTCTGGCCATTGTAGCCATTTGGAGAGTAAACCAGAGAAGAAAGACCTTCATCTCTGTCTCGCCTTCTCTCTGTAAATTTGATCTGCCTTTCTAATAAAAAATCAATAAACAAACAAATCTTTAAAAAATTAAAGTGGTGGGGTTGGGTGCACAAACAGGAGCTTTGACCCTGCCTGACACACGTAATTGCGACAAGCGGGATGGAGCACACCCTAGCTTCCTGATGTTCAAGGTTACACTGGAAATCCACCCAGCCAGCTACTTAAATGCAGGTGGTGCCATCTTGGGTCAGGTGGCAGGACGCCAACGGTGCCAGGTAAAGCCCTCTCTCTGCCCGGTGACAAAATCTGAAGACTTTGGGGTGTGGGCCTATAAGGGGTCTGGTGGATGGCTCAGGTCCTGAGAGTTCATGTCCAGGTGATTAATGACTTTCGAGGGACTTCCATGGACATTGCCACTGTTCTAACAGGCACACACTGAGGCTGGTATGGGGGCCTCCCTAGCAGGGCTGGATCAAGGTGCCCACCCGTGAGAGTCGAAACAGGGAATGAACATGTGTAGCTAGACCATGACACTGAGCAGCATGTGAATTGTCAGCACTGGAGGCAGAATTTGTGGGGGCATATGAATGCTCACTCCTGTTGAACAATGATCTCCATTAGCACGCACAAAGAGCTGTGCCCCAGTTGAGTTGGGGTTCCCACTGTGAGTGCAAGAGTCAGAATGGGCCAGTGGTCTAGGCTGGACACAGCTGCAGTCTCCCCTGGCATGGGTGTGGACTGGGTCTGGGGATGCCACATTGGGCTCGACCCCAGCACCCACTGGCGCACATGAGAGCTAGCATGGGTGTAGAACGTGCTGGGCTAGGTCTCGGCTTCCGCTGAACCACGTGAGAGCTGTGTCTGGATGTGGACCAGGTGTGGCAGGGCTGTAGTACCAAACAGTGAGAACTAGAATGGGTGTGGGCTGGTTGGACAAGACCTGTTCCTGCCAGGACAAGAAGCGGACAAAGTCAACCTGGGCCAAGGACCCACCGGTGTGTGCAACATCTGGCACTGGGAGGGGACCTGACAGAGGAGCTTGGGAAACTCCTTGTCAGAACGCAGTCCTTGCAGATGAATGCAAGAACCAAGGCAAGCAGTAGCCCAAACCAGGCCAGGTTACAATACCCACGAGTGAAAAAGGCAGAATAGTGGATGCAGACCCTGATGCACATGGAGAATATGGCAGCCCACTGGGTACTATACCAGAGGAAGGAGAAGCAAACAAATTGGACAATTACTCCAGCTCAGCAATGGCAGCAAAATATCTGGGTGAATGGAGACTTGAGGTCAACTATGTCAGCCAGTGCACATTGGAAGGGTTGCCTCACCCTTGGATCGACAAAATCGATAGCATTTCAGAACTATCCAAACCATTCGGTCAGAACCCTCAGAACGTGCGCCACGTCGGGACCCTGGGTTGATATAGGGTGGCAGTTTCCCATCCCTGGGTACTGGGGCATTTGGCAGACTGGGTGCGGCTTCTGTCTTTATCTCTTCCCTTCCCCCAGAGACAAGCAGAAGAAACAGAAACTTTGGAAACAATGGTTTTACCTACTTTTCCCTAACTCTCGATCAACCATGTAATCACCATCAAATTTTTAAAACATTTTTAAAGTTCACACAAATATACATTTTGAAAACATTATGCATAGATTTCAAAATTTTTTGCACCAGAATAAACTGTGCTTATAGTTTCAAAAAAAACCCAAACACATAAAAATAAATAAAGCATGTTTACATGTTCAAGAAAAAAAAAAGGTACACGGCTTATGTAGGGCTTTTCAACTTTTTTCCTTAATGGCAGACCACAGAAAATGCAGACTCCTTGGCACATGAGCAGGGCTTAAGCCATCACCTGTCACTTCACTACATTAGGATAGCAATAATCATAAACATGAATAATAACTAGGATGACCATAACCCAAAAGATAGGCAGCAATTAGTGTTAGGACAGGTATGGAAAAATATGGAACCCTCATACACTGCTAGGAATACTAAAATGGTAAAAATATATATATATATACTATAAATTTTGGCATTCCTCAAAACATCAAACTGGGAATTAGGATGTGATTTAGCAAGCGTATATCTCAAACACATCTCCATGAGAAACGAAAAGAATGTTCGCATTAAACCATGTTCCCTGTGTCCACAGCAGCATTATTCATGATGTCCAAACAGCAGGAACCACTCAAGGGACCGACAACTGATGGAGGGTAAGCAAACCATAGCCACACACGCATCAAAAGGAAGTGCTGACGCGCATTAGAGAACAGCCAAACCTTGAGAACACAGCCGCAAAAGACAACACACCATCAGGGAATAAAATACCCACAGCAGACAAAGGTCGCAGAAACAGAAAGCAGCTGAGCAACCAGGACTGAGAGCTGGGGTGAGGAGGAGGGAGGAGGGAGAGACCGACACAACAGCTTGCTTTGTCCAGCAAAGTAAGTAACTTTAATGAACTGGGAAAGGTTCAAGCTATGGAAATCCATGAACTTACAGGAAAAGCAAACATGCACTTCACTTCACGTAAGGCGACTCTGAATTCCTTCCTTGAAAACTCGCATTTAAAGCTCAAGAATTAAGCCTTTGTTCTGTCTTCACGGCAATGGCGACTCTGACGAAGTTTTAATCTTATTGCACGTGACACCATTTTAGCTAAGTAAGTAAATCTTCTTAGTTTTGCGATGTATCCTATAAGGGAGGAAAGTTAAGATATCTGTAAGCTACCTTAAGGCATTTCTGTGTAAACATATATAAGTTAATATATATAATAAAAATCAAAAATACGTGGTTTTTTTCTGCTCGTTCTATTGCTTAATGGATAAGTGACACTGCACCAAACTTGCCAATTTTGTGAAAACTGGAGGAAACTGGGAAAAGGTGACCCCCACATAACTAGCATCTAGAAAGCTTGTGTGGAAACACGGGGGCCAGGGAGTGGTTTCCTGCAGCTGCAAGGGACGCTGTGAGTAGCAGACCCCTCGCAGGGGAATCTAGCCTCCTGATATACCCCAGGTGACATCTCTCATTTTGGTACAAAGGAGATGAAGCTGGAGAAGACACGGCTTGCTTAACTCACGTATGAGGACGGCTCGACGGGCCCGCCTGCTCAGGGCTCCCTGTGGCCGCGTGGACCATGGCTCCTTCCCTTGCTCCAGCCGGGAGATCAGAGCTGGTGTGGAGATGGGTGACGGTGCTTGCAAGGAAGAGAACAGAGCACAGTGAGGAGCCGAGTCAGCAGGCTCGCAGCATGCAGCCTGTGGCAGCAAGGACACCCAGGGCAGGGCAGGAAGGTAGCTCCCGTAACTCAAGGGCGTCCTGGGAGGAAGCCCTAGAAAGCTCCAGAGCAGCCTCAGCCACGCCAGGCCTCTTTGTAGTTAGAGGGCAACAATTTGTCTTCTGTTCTTGGCTAGAGCACGAAACATTTCCATGTGAGAAATAGGCTCAGAGTGTCCAGGAGGAAGTGTCAGACAGAGAGCAAAGGGCCGGGGTCTGTCAGAATGAGTTTAGCGGTTTAAGGCCCGACTGAGGGTACCAAGGTGTAGTGTGAACCCTGCTGTACCTAAGGCATGTAGGAAAGGAGAGGTTCTTTAATGATGGAAACAGCAGGGCGCTCTGGGGTGACAGACCCCAGGGCTTCCCATACCCGGCAAGCTGTGACACGGCCACTGGGAGCAAGTTCATACTGACAAGAGCCCGTGGACCTGGGGGCCTGGGAAGCAATGAGCAGCTTACCTAGGGAAGCCACCATCCCGTAGTTCTCCAACATCACTTCCTTGTACAAGGCTCTCTGAGCAGGTGTCAGGCTGACCCATTCCTTCTTAGTGAAGTACACGGCCACATCCTCAAAAGTCACCGATTCCTGGAACGACAAAATGTTCCCACTTTTCAGGAGCTCAGGTCTTTGGTGGTAGTCAAAAGTACCAGCGAGCGGCCTGGGAAGAGCACCTACAATGGTATGTATTCAGTACTGGGTCATTCACGGCCTCCTGGTTTCTGTACGGGGTCAGAGGATGGGGGGAGCGTTCGACTCGGGGGGCCATATAAAGTTCACACAATGCTTTGGTCTAGTCCTGTCAAGACAACCGCAGGCGGGACTCAGAGTTCAATAAATCTAGAGCAGGCTAATTTTTAAGTTGATCATTTTGAACGGTTTCTAAACACTGTTATAAACACCCAAATGGCCTGTAGCTGAAAAATGATTCCCCACCCCTCAGAGGGGGCAGGAGGCAGAATTAAAGGCAGCCAGCCAGCGTTCAGCATACTTTCCCAGCTGGAACCAAGCACATCTCTGCTGCGTGCTTCCAAACACGCAGACATGGAAGTCACTGGGCCTGAGCAGGAATGCACAGCGAGAAGGGACTGCGCTCTCCGCCGTCGCCACAGTGCTAAGACAAATGTTCCAGTGGGCGATGTGGATCACGGCACTGCCATTTCCCAACTCTCAGGCAAAGCTGTCATATGACTTCCACCCACCACTAGCCTGCCTCCACGCATAGAGAAGCATAGAAAAATACTGCTAACGTAGGAAGTTAATGCATAGACCACTGTGTCACCTTAGACTCATAATGAGCTCAAAAAGGCAGCCATGGAACATGTGCAAGCCCTGGAGTAGCAGCCTGGCTCTGTATTTCAGAGAGCTCTAGGGTTAAGTGGTCTTAACCCAGGGTGGGTAACAAAGGGACTCCATGAGCCAGGTGCCAAAGTCCATACTGTCCATTATCTTTTTGATATATTTTTAAATACCTTGGAGGAAAATCCTCTATATTCTATTATGTTGCAAAATTATTTTACTTCCCCACAACAATAAGTACCATGGGCTGTGGTTCAAAGATAAGACAATATGGCTGGGCCCAATGCAGTAGCCTAGCAGCTAAAATCCTTGCTTTGCAACACCCAGGATCCCATATGGACGCCGGTTCATGTCCCAGCTGCTCCAATTCCCATTCAACTCCCTGTTTATGGAAAGGCAGTCAAGGACAGACCTTCATGGGAGACCTGGAAGAAACTCCTGACTCCTGGCTTTGGATCAGCTCAACTCCAGCCATTGCTGTCACTTGGGGAGTGAATCATTGGACAGAAGATCTTCTCTGTCTCTCATCCTCTCTGTATATCTGACTTTCCAATAAAAATAAATAATAATAATAAATATATATTTTAAAAGACAATATGGATAATAGAAATAAAAAGGGTTTTTAAAAACAGGTAGGGCCCAGCGCCGTGGCCTAGTGACTAAAGTCCTCACCTTGCATGCACCGGTATCCCATATGGGCACCAATAATAATTCCAGCTGCTCTGCTTCCCATCCCGCTCCCTGCCAGTGGCCCTGGGAAAAAGGTCCAGGACCCTGCACCCACATGGGAGACCCGGAAGAAGCTCCTGGCTTCAGATCGGCTCAGCTTTGGCCATTACGGCCGCTTAGGGAGTGAACCAGCAGATGGAAGATCTTTCTCTCCGTATCTCCTTCTTTCTGTATATGTCTTTCCAATTAAAAAAATAAAATAAAATAAAAACTAAATATAAAAACAGGTGCAGACATATAAGGGCACCAATTTATGAAAACATAATCAGTGCAATTCAGTAAAGAAGAGATTTCTCAATAAACAGTCTCAAGTCACTTGGATATCCGTCGGGGGTGGGAAGCCCTGTCCCTAAATCTAGGATCAGTCACAGAAGCAGCAAGAAAACTGAAGCAGTACACCTTCTAGAAGAAAACAATACATCTTCACGACCTTTGAGTGAGAAACATGTCATACACGAAACAGACTACACACTGCACTTCAGGAGAACTTTAAGAAATCTTTTTGTTTATCAAAGGACACCATTAAGAGAGTGAAAAATTGGGCTCTCTGTCTCTCTGTAAATCTGCCTTTCAAATAAAAACAAATAAATCTAAAAAAAAAAAAAAACCAGAAAAGAGAAATCTGACAAAGGACTTATATCCATAATAAAGAATTAACTGCTCAGCTTGGGGGTAGGGGACGTGAACAGTAAGAAACAGGTAGAACAGTGGAACAAAAACTTCCCATAAGAAGGCTTCCACGTGGCAACAAAAACATGCAGTGTTGCTCAGCGTCACTGCTTACTGGAGAAGAGACATTTTTAAAGCCCTGAGGAGATCCCATCAACAAATAACAAGTGTTGGTTTGGACGTGGCGCAACTGCAAGTTGCAGGCCGAAGTCTTAAAAACTGCAGCCACCATTCTGGAAAATTGCCAGGCATCGTTTACTAGAACCAAGCGTACACTCCGTGGTCTGGCAATTTCCCTCCTCGAGATCCAGCTAACTGAAATGAGTCACTAAATTCTTACAGTAGTGAAAAACTAGAAAAACCAAAAAAAGTCCATCTTCAGGAAAATGAACAAGGAAGAGCGGTATAATCATATATGGAAAACCATTCAGCAATAAAACAGAACCGCTGCTGCGTACGGCCGCATCAGTGAAGTCCACAGGCACAAAGTTGAAAGACGGCAGTTATGAGGAGGGTGAATGACTGTGCTTTAATGAACGAAGTTTAAGAACAAAACCAGCCTATGCGGGCAGAGCTTCAGCAGATGGGTTGGTTCTGTCACAGTGGGGAGGGACCTTCTGGGGCACTAACAGTGTTCCACGTCTTGACGGGAGTGTTGATCAGATACTTCTAGAACGTGAGCCATACAGTTAGGCTTGTGTCCTATGTAAGGTGAACCTCAAGGACAGGTTCATATATGCATTTATAAAAGTGTGTTTCACGTTTCTATAGAGGCATGCAGTATGTTTTTGGAAAATTCAGAGAAAAATGCATATTTTGAAAGATCAATGCATGAATTTTTGAGAAGTTTTTTTTTGTACTCAAATAAACTTATCCTTTAATTCTGTTTTTTTTTTTAATATTTAAGTATCCTTATGTGGACCTTACATGTACACATTTACAAACACATGAACACAGATACACAGGTGCAGACATACATGTCTGCGTGTGCACAAAAGCAAAGACCACTTCTCTCACCTGGGATCCCACCGGCAAGGACACCGCTGTCATGGTCAGACCTGTTTTATTTCTGTCTTGGAGAAAAGTCTCCGGGGCTGGAAGAAAGAACAAAGAAACATTAATGACGACCAGTCCACTGGCCCTAACTCCTGCAGGTGACTTCCACAGCGTGCTGTTTCGACGACATGAACCGCGGGAACACTGCTTGCGTTCAGTAGTGAGTCTGTTCTCACAGAGGTGAAGTAGTAGGCAAACATGGGAGGGCAGAGAGAAGGATCATCCCAAGAATGTGTGATCAGATGCTCGAGTGAGAAAGCTCTAAGCTCAAAAACCTAGGGAAAATACAAAAAAAAAGGATTAAAAAAGAAAACTAGACATCTATCAAATGCCATAAGAGCTCAACATCTGTTTGTTTTATTTTGTTTTCTTCCTGTGTTACATAAATTTAGGACAGTACAGTTTCTCTGAATGAATGTCAAAATAGTTTACTGGAATTATCTGCACTTCTCCCCCAGTAGCACTTTCCTCCAAACACACAGGAAGAGTATAAGATAAGCATGAATCTTTATAAAAGTGTCGGACATGGTGTAAGAAGCAAAACACTGTCAACTGCATCACATGTCCCAAATATTCCAAATATTTATAGCTTAGGGAAGCAAAGCAATTCGTCTCTCAACTAGTTCCAACTCCTATTCTGGATCATTTAGTTCATCATATTGAAGTAAACCTCTTCCATTCCAAAGAACCACCAACAATTCTGCATTAAAGTTTACCTGAAACACAGTTGCCATCAGATCAAAGACATTCAACAACCAAAACCAAACATCCAAAAGTGCATGTAGACACAGACTGCAAAACCAACTTTCATTTGAACTATTATTTGTAGTCCATCCTGAGTGACAGGGAACTACAGAAACGACAGACAAGCAGATGTACTGCAGTAACCAATATAGCGCCCCTTCCTCCACTGACCCTTCTCAGGAATTCTGGAAAGCTTCCCTATCCAGGAAGACAAGGGAAGTCACAGCTATCAGAGAAAGTGCTTGCCAGGACAGGCTGGGAAGCTCATCTGGGGCATTTCAGGGATGCCAGCAAGGAGGGTCAGCAGTTAGAAGTGCAAACAGAACTGACCATGAACTCAGAGACGCCGGCATCGGTGAAGCATCCAAGACGGTTGTGCACAAACCTGCTGTAAAAGCCACAGACAAGGTAGCTTCAGGCAGATCATACTGCAAGACCGGAAGGCCACTGCCAACTCCCTGAAATCCAGCAGACCCTCGAGTCCTGCTTGGCAACTCTTCCCAAGTTCCACCAGCTCTCACCTGGTCCCACTCTGAGGTCAGAGTGGCCCAAACTGGCCTGGTGCATGACTTTGAGAAGCAGTGTAAGGTCTGGAAGGGTCCTGTGCCTGAGAATCACTGCAGGGTCCCCACAGACGCTGAGGGAAAAAGCGGATGAGAAAAGTTGGGCTGAACCTGTGTCTTTCTCCAAGGCCATGACAGAGCAGCATGAGAAGTGGCTGGAGAAGGTAAAAAAACCATTCCCTTGGACAAGATGGTCAACGAAGACTTGACATCTTCTCCAAAACCAAATGAGACAGGATGTATCCCTATGGGCCTCACCAGTCAGTTGAATTTACAAAACTGAGTCTGGGAGCAAGCTCTCTAGCTCTTATGTTCCAAACGCTGGATATTAAACATAAAATGTACACAGTTTAAGAAGCGTAAATATAACTTGAAGAAAAAAAAACACAAGGGAAGTCTACACAAATAATGTTATGAAATCAGTGGGTGGCATCTGTCCAGGCGTAGCAAATGCAGCAATCCGTATAAAAAGATACGCCCTTCAGTTATGTGTTTGAATTGTCTAACATCATGTCATCCTATCTGTACTAATGCCCCTCACCATGGGTTCTTAAGACTTTTTTTTTTTTTACTTGAAAGCCAGGATTATATAGAGAGAAGAGACATATCTTCCACCCACTGGTTTACTACTCAAATGGCCACAATAGCCAGAGCTGAGCCAGTCAGAAGCTGGGAGTCAGGAGCTTCTTCCAGACGTTCCATGTGGGTGCAGGGACTCAAGGCCCCGGGACAACCTCTGCTGCTTTCTAAGGCCGTAAGCAGGGAGAACTGGATCAGAAGATCAACCGGGATGAAAACTGGGGCCCATATGGGATGTCGGCACTGCAAACGGAGGATGAGCCTATAAGCTACCATGCGGGCCCCACAGCGGACTCTTAATAGGACTCACATATTGCAAGAACATAAGCCCAAAGAACTGGTGTGCACAGCCAAGAATCTGATAAGCAAATCATCTGACAATGGAAGAACAATAGGGGGTATGCTATAAAACATTTTCTCCTCTTTTCCTAAGGGGAAAATCTTTTTTTTTTTTAAGATTTTGTTTTTATTGGAAAGGCGGATATACAGAGAGGAGAGACAGAGAGGAAGATCTTCCGTCCGATGATTCACTCCCAAAGTGAACACAACGGTTGATGCTATGCCAATCCGAAGCCAGGAGCCTCTTCCAGGTCTGCCATGTGGGTGCAGGGTCCCAAAGCTTTGAGCCGTCCTTGACTGCTTTCCCGGGCCACAGGCAGGGAGCTGGATGGGAAGTGGAGCTGCCGGGATTAGAACCGGTGCCCATATGGGATCCCAGGTGTGCAAGGCGAGGACCTTAACCACTGCGCCATCGCGCTGGGTCCCCTAAAGGGAAAATCTTACAGCATTAAGGCATACATGAAAGCCAGGGTGGGCAACAAGTCACTAACAGGGGCCAAGTGCTTCAGTTGACTGTGAGCCTGGACAGCTACCTCAATGGAGTAAAAAGAAAGCAGATGGGGTATCAGGAAAGATGTGAAATGGTCAAGAATTTTTTTTTTTAAGAAGTTTATTGGAAGGACAGAGAGAGAGAGATGTGCCCATAATGGCCAGGAAAACACTGGGCTTGGAGCCAGGAACTCAATCCAAGTCTACCCACGTGGGTTGGCTGCAATCCAGCTACTTGGGCCATCATCACTGCCTATGGCCACTGAGCTCAAAGCAGAAAGCTAGAATTGGGTGCCAAGCCAGGAAAGGAACCCAGGGACTCTGACAAAGCCCACAGGATCCGGATCGCTAAGCGGGCTACACACTGCCGCCCAGGAAGGCATTCCGTGCCTCCAGTACACACGTAGGAAACTGCCCAACCCTGAGCAGGTGCTGGGTGAGAAGGGTATGAGATGTCATGAGGTTTTAGCTTGAGCAATCCTAAGAGCCACAGAGCTCTTCCCTCCCCCATCTGTGAACGAAGTAGGTGGCATCCTGGGGTGCCGATCGGCGGGGGCGGGGGGCAGTATTAGCCAATCTTTGGCTGCCCTAGGACGGTACTGACCTCCCAGACTGGGGCACACAGCACACCCCATGAGGTGAATTAAGCCATCCCAGCCCGATTTCCTGGGATCACTTGATCAACAAGAGATAGGGAAATGGGGTGTCCACAAGCCAAGGGAAGGCTCCAGGACAAACCACCAGGGCACTAGGGCGACCAGAGGGCGTGTCGTGTTGGCAGTGTATCCCGGAGCGTGGCCAGTTCCAGAGTTTTGAGGGCCTCGGGGTCAACCCTTGAATCTTGGGTCCACACCCCATGCTGTCCTGGGTACAGGGAAAAGAGGGGGGGCAGGAGCCAGCCGCGGCGTCCCGGACATATTAACGTCCCCCCTCCTCGACAACGACGATGCCACCAGGCCGATTGTGGGGTTCAGATGAGGACTCCAAGGAACTGTGCCCACCTCCCTTGGGTTCCTATCCCGTCCTTCTGCCCAAGCCTCACCAGCTCTCACCGGGGCTGTCTGCGGCCTCTGCGGTTTGTCAACAGTCGCGAAGCACTGCGCTTCGTTCCTCACCAACCAAACCCCTCGCGTTCACTATGGCCGCCCGGCAGTTCGTCACTCACGGACAGACCAACCCACTCCTGCCCCTCCCAGAACGTTCTCGAGGCTCCCAGAGGAGCCCGCCTCTTGGTGAGGGGGCCCGCCTTCCAGTTCTCGCGAGACAAGCCCCAGGGGACAGGGTAGGCAAGGGGGCCTGGCACATGGGTGCCTCGCGGAGCCTCGTGCAGAGTTGAGCTGCCAAGACCAGGCACATTGATCTCCTCGGCGCGGGGGAGGCGGGGCTGTGCAGACTATGAAACACCCGGGGAGCAGACAGGGCCCAGCTGGGCCAGGGTGCAGCCCACTCCCGCCCCCTTGGCAGTCCCCAGGGGCTTCCTGCTCAAACAGGAGCTCAGTCTGTGCCCTAGAGGGGCCTGTGGTGTTCACTTTAGAAAGGCCGTTTACCTTCACCAAAGCTTTACTGTTTTGAACACTAAACGAATGCAATTTCTACCCTGTTGTATCTACGTGTTCCTTGTCATTGAGTGATAACCTTGTAAAACTGTAAGGAATTCACACCCAACACCAGGGGTACTGATATTTAACTACTGTACATTTATTTGACACAACCTTACACATCCACTTGCTTTATTGAAAGGCAGAGTTAGCAAAGAGAGGGAGAGAGAGAGAGAAGTCATTTATCTGCTGGTTCATTCACTGAATGACTGCAGCAGCCAGGGCTAGGCCAGGCTGAAGCCAGGAGTCAGCCGTTTCTGAATCTCCCATGATGGTGCGGGGGACCCAAGCACTTGGGCCATCCTCTACTGTTTTCCCATTCCCATCAACAGGGAGCTGCATTGGAATAGAGCAGTCGGGATGCAGAATTGCAGGCAGTGGCTTAACCCACTATGCCACAATGCCAGCCTCTCGCATAAGCCTGGTTCAATGGTGTCTAAACCATGAAACTGCATCTGACATCTGGCCACAGATAAGACAAATCCTGTGGCTACAAGACCATTTGGCAACTGCTATTGCCCTTCAAAGCTCTCTGATCCAGATTCCTAAGTTGCTGCTGGATAATACTACCTGTAAATGTAGGTCTCCTCTCCAATCCCTCTCTGTGCTGTGACTTCTCGCCCCCTCTTCCCCTTCTGTGTAGCAGCCTCAGGCTCTGGAAAACCCTTCTGTAAGAAACCCCATTTCATGCAGTCCTGAGCAAGAACTGCCCCATAAGACTTGTTGTGCAATACTGCCACCTCTTGGTCCTGTTGCTTCCCTCCTATGTCATCAAACTCATCCAAGTGCTGCAATAATACAGACCTTGTCTCTTCAGTTCTCTAACACCATTTACTTAATGATGGGTTCATAATTAGTTATGATGTTGCATCAGCATGCTACCTGGCTTGTAAAGGTTCTCTGTCTTGGGACTGGCATGTTGGCATAATAGGTGAAGTTACCACCCTATGGCGCTGGTATCCTGCACAAGCTCTGGTTTAAGTCCCGGCTGCCCTCCTTCCCATTCAGCCTCCTGCTAATGGCCTGAGAAAAGAAGCAAAGGATGGCATAAGTGCTTGTGCCCCTGGCTCCCGGCATGGGATGGCTCCAGCTCTGACTGTTGCTGCCATTTGGGAAGTGAACCAGTAGAAGCTCTCTCACTCTGCCCTTCAAATAAACAAATCATTTTAAAAAAAAAATTATCTCGAAGATTATCTCAAGGTTACAATGACTACAAATACAAGTCTTAAGTTACACTGAAAACCGTGAATGGCAGTGCATTGGGAATGTTACCGTATGATCAATGAATCCTACCTTGTACAACCATGACTTCTGTTGAATGACTGTCATTGGTGTGGGCATTCGGCACAGCAGTTAGCATGCATCCCATGTGCAGCCCACTTCAGAGTGGCTAGGTCAAGTCCCAAGTCTGCTCTTGATTCTAGCTTCTGGCTAATGCACACTCTGGGAGGCAGCACTAGTTGGGTCTCTGCCACCTACCTAGGAGATCCAGATTGGGTTCTTGGTTCCTTACGTCAGCCTAGATAAGCCCTGACTGTTGTGGACACTTGAGAAGTGAATCAGTGGATGGGAGCTCTTCCCACTGGCAATCCGAGCGCCAGAATGGAGTGTGGGTCAAGCCAGGTCAGGCCACAACACAAGCCATTTCACATGAGGGCCAAGTCTGGGGGATGGCTGGGCTGGGCTAGGCTGTGTAGCCCCCACTAGTAAATGCTGAGGTGAGGTGGGCCATCCAGACTCTTATTGGCAAGCACACATAAGAATCAGGTCTGGGTAATACATTGATGAATTAAAGAAAATGCTAAACTCTCAAAAAAAAAAAAAAAGAATCAGGTCTGGGGCTGGGTGTGATAGCATAGTGGTTAAAGTTCTCGCCTTGCACGTGCTGGAATACCATATGGTCACCGATTCTAATCCCGGCGGCCCCGCTTCCCATCAAGCTCCCTGCTTGTGGCCTGGGAAAGCAGTTGAGGACGGCCCAAAGCCTTGGCACCCTGCACCCGTGTGGGATACCCGGAAGAAACTCCTGGCTCCTGGCTTCAGATCGGCATAGCATCGGCCGTTGCACTCACTTGGGGAGTGAATCATTAGACGGAAGATCTTCCTCTCTGTCTCTCCTCTCTGTATATCTGATTTTCCAATAAATAAATAAATCTTAAAAAAAAAAAAAGTACCTACATGGCTTGTCCTCCAATAAAGCCTTATGTACCGGCTCTCTAATGACTTTCTTTGGGCAGAAACATGCACACATGCTGCTGTGCTTTTCTTTTTAGGAGGAGAATGAGCTCTGAATAGTCCCCATAGTGAGGAGGAAGCATCAGGAAACCTGACCCTGAATGCCTGAAGACTATCTTTTCCCCTTTATGATCTAGTTATGATCCTTATCATATACCTGTAATGAATCTTCATCATGACCACAACCAAATGCTGAAGACTAAATCAATGAACAATCCATTGCAAAAATGACAGGATCAAATTACCACCCATTCATATTAACTTTGAATATAAATGGTTAAACTTATTAATCAAACGTCATACATAAGTAGACTGGATTAAAAAAATAAAACCCATCTATTTGTTGCCTACAAGAGACATATCTCACCAACAAAGATCAGCAGATTTTGATAGGTTTTTTAAACTTAATTTCATCTCTTCCAAACACTTTCTTCCTCATTAAATTCTTTACTGACCCATAGATCATACAGTAACACTTTCTTCAAGAAGGTTCTTGATTTTCTTTTTCATTTCTTTAATGACACATTAGTCATTCAGTAGCATGTTATTTAACTTCATGGCATTTTTAATTTTTTCCTTTCTTCCTGTTAATTTTGTTTTGTGGCTTTTCATTTAAGGGGATATACAGTAGTTGTGTAATATAGACTATCATATCCAGTAGCATGTTAATTAACTTTAGGCTTTGTAAATTTCTATTTTTCTTCCTGTCTGATTTTTCTTCCTTTTTGATTAAAAAAAAATATTGAAATGCACTATGGATATAAACCGTTGAGCCTAACACTCAGTTCACAGTAGTCTTAAGGTGATGATCTTGGTGGCAAGGGGGATAATCAACATGGATGACCATGGATGCTAACTAGGTCATTCTCATTCCCACTCTCCCCCTCCATCCTCTTCCACTGCATACCTTCATCTCTGTAGTCCCCAGAGTGAATGTACCACCCAACAACTTTATAATAACATTTCACAGCTGGCAAATGCCTAAATTCAGCCTCTAGGGTTGTTTTTTTTTAAGATTTATTTATTTTTGTTGGAAGTAAATATTTACAGAGAAAAAGAGAGACAGAGACGGATTTTCTATCTGCTGGTTCACTCTGCAAATGGCCGCAATGGCAGGAGCTGATCTGAATCCAAGAGCGAGTAGCTTCTTCCAGGTCCCCTACATGGGTGAAGGGTCCCAAAGTTTTGGGCTGACCTCCATTGTGCTCCCAGGCCATAAGCAGGGTGCTGGATAGGAAGCGGAGCAGCCAGGATACAAACCACTGCCCATATGGAATCCTGGTCCTTGCAGGGGGGAGGGTTAGTTAGGAGCCATTATGCCATGCCCCAAACTCCTGTTTTGACATCTCAGAAGTAGGAATGTTCTGGATCGGATCAAAAGTGGATGGCAGTTGAGAAAAGAACTCAGTTTGTGCCGGAGACCAGCTCCAGCTGACTGAGAGCTTGCAAAAAATGCGTGGATCGGCGAAATGATAGGAAGAGATAAGACACGGACCACTATGACTTGATGCTCATAATGGACAACTCAGAAAAGTTGCCTTCTTTATTTATACATAAATCATCACAAGTTTTTTCACAACATCCAATTGTTTCATTTTTCATTACATCATGGTTATGAAAATGCAAGAAGCAATCCTAAAAAATATTTTTCTATTTCAAAGAAAACATTCTTAACAAACCATTACTCATTGAAACCTGCAATCACCTGGCTGAAACCAGGAACTCCACGGTTGGCAGCGCATGCAGTTACATAGTGACAAGTAGTTTACTTATACTCAAAATCAACTTTTACTAAACACAAACTAATATTGATTAAAATATTAAGAATACAGAATTAAAAGATCATAAGTAAAAGGATTTTATAAAAGCATATAACATAGATTCTTTGTTAAATTTTATAATCAAACCATGCATTAATTACGGTCACCGTCACCTAGTGCTGATTCAATTGTTTTTTGTTCTTTTGTTAAAGGGCAGTGAAAGGGATCAAGGCAATTCAGCTAGTCTACAAACAGAGGGCCTCTTACAAGAAACTTCCTTTAAACTATTTTCTTTCTCTAAATATAAGTGCCAATATAAGATTGAGATTTTAAGCCAATTTGACGGGGTTCACATTTATTTCCTTATAAAAGATGCCCCATATACTTTTGTTTTCTGTGGTAAGAAACTAAAATGCGTCATATCATGTGTTGTAACAGTTTGAGGTGCATGGTAAACAAACTCTTTGTACCTCCATGATTGCCATCTGTTGCAAGATATTATCAAGCCATTTCTTAAGGAAAACATTACTTACACTAGGGCAAACTTTAGAACAAAAGTGGGCACATAGCAGGATGTTTGGAAACATAGTGGGCTCAATTGTATTATTGTATACTTTTAACTGTGTGTCATAGCCTTATGTTACTACAGGTGTTTTTATCATAACATGATAGATCAATTTGAGGTGTCATATCAGTTACAGGAATCACTTCACATTAGCAGAAAAACAACAACAACACCCTCAGAAGAATTCTATGAAATATCAGAGAGGTGATTGAGTTCCATACAATGGGTGAGGCAGCAATGAGGTGACCAGAGACATTCTGCCGGGCCTTGCCTCGCAGCCAGAAACTCCTCGCAGCCTTGCTAACTGAGGAGCGGTGTTCATCACACACCCATGCCATCCGACCCAACTGCACGGCTCCCCACAAGTTTGCCTTCTAAATCATACACTGACTTGATCGTCACCTGGTGGAGTGTAAATGTTTCTAGCACCCAGCCAAACAACCGCACAAAGAAAAGTTCAGTCAGGAGGGAGTTTGGAAATCTGAAGGGCCAAAGTCCATGTTTTCAAGTCCTTTGGCAGTTAAAGAGTAACTGGAGGATTATGAGTGGATTCAGTTTCAGCAGGTAACACAAAGACTAAAATCAGGACGTTTTTTGTTTTGTTTTGATCTGAACTACACTTCTGGTTACTTAATAAAATCTTGGACTCTGTGTCACAGCCTTCTTATCTTAAGCCCGTTGGCTGGGCCTGGACTGGTACACCACAGATGTCTCCTACTCAACAGCCTGAGCGTACCTGAGAGCCCCACGGCAGGCAAAGTCCATAGCACCCCTGCAGCCTAGAGCTTCCTGGTAAAATGAGGAGATTGGTTGACACTTACAGCTTTGACATTCCCTGATTCTGGGTTCTGCCTTCTTGTTGGAAAGGCCAGCAGGCAAGGCAGTGGGGCCCGTGGAAGGCTCCAGGAGAGAGCTTTCTGAGACTGCACACTGTGTGTGAAGAGTTCTCAGAATGTGAAGTTCTATGGGTCCCTGAGATTGGATTCATTCACTTGTGCTCCCAGGTGCAGGCAGCAACCCCTACCCAGGTTCAGGCTCCTCTGTGTGTTTTTTCTGTATGCAAAGGTAAGAATAGACTTGACTGGCTTTTATAAGCATCCTTGAGACACAGGGTCGAAGAGAGGCAGTCCAACAAGGATGAAGAAATGAGACAGGACTGCATGGAACCAAGGCAAAGGGCAGAGTAGCAGAAAAGGCTTTAGGACCCCAGTGGACACATACAGAACCTGGACCTGAGCCAAGCATTGGTCTGGCTGCTTTTCCTATATTGCCTCTTTTTGCCTTACAACCACATCTACTGGACATGATCATTATCCCCATGTCATGGATATCAGAATGGAGGCATAGTGAGATTAAGTAGTTTGATTTAGGGAGGTCAACTCAGTATGGAGGTTTTATTTGAGTGTTTTATTTATTTTTACACATTTATTTTTATTCCAAAGGCACAGGGATAGACAACAGCTCTCATCTGCTGGATGACTCCCTGAAACAGCTGGGACTGTGCTAGGCTGAAGCCAGCAGTTCAGAGCTCAATTCAGGTCCCCTCATGGGTGACAGGGACCCAAGTCTTGAACCATGACCTACTGCCTCTTAGGGAACACATTCGCAGAAATCTGGAATTGGGGTTGGAGTTGGGACTTAAGCACCAGCACTCTGTTAAGGGATGCAGGTATTCCAAGCATTGTCTTAACAGCTGCACTGAACACCAGCCCTCATTGAATCTTTTTAAAATGAGAAGGAGTGAATGTGGCGCTTCATGTATGGTTGGTATATGTCTACTGAAAGAGCCTGAAAATATACAAGTTCAGAAGTCAGTACAGGTCAGTGGGTCCTGGGAGGAGGAGGAGTGAGGACCAGGTAGCCTTTGAGAGAAGGGTGCTGAGTCTGAAAAGATCAGAGCAAACATGAGACTAGTGGGCAGACTTGCCCAGAGCCAGTGTTTCCCTCAGCACCTTCTCCTAGCCACTCCTCTGCCCACCTGATTGGTTTCCGTCATGCGTCACACCAAGGCACTGCCTACTTGCTATGATCTGTAACTTTCTAATAGTACAAGATCCAGGTGAACACACTTTTATTCTCCTGGACTTGTCAAGACCTCATCAAACTCTGTTTGCACCTAGAGAACAATAACCTATCCCGGACGTAAGCCACACAAACATAGCCATGGTGCTCTGGGGACTGTTAGTGGCCTTGCTCGTGGTTATTGTGGGGTACCTGTGCCTGCCAGGGTTGCTCCGACAACGTAGACCCCAGGAGCCTCCTCTGGACAAGGGCACCATACCCTGGCTGGGCCATGCCATGATTTTCCGGAAGAACATGCTTGAGTTCTTGAAGCATATGCAGTCCAAGCATGGGGATGTGTTCACCGTGCAGCTGGGGGGCCAGTACTTCACCTTTGTCATGGATCCTCTCTCCTTTGGCCCCATCCTCAAGGATGTGAAAAGAAAACTTGACTTTATGGAATATGCAAAGACACTGGTGCTGAAGGTGTTTGGATACCGGTCAATTGAAGGGGACTACGAGATGATGCACTCGGCCAGTACCAAGTATCTCATGGGACCCAACTTGGAAGACCTCAACAAGGTCATGCTGGACAGCCTGTCGCTGGTGATGCTGGGGCCCGAAGGCCGGGATCCAGATGCCAACCAATGGCATGAGGTTGGTCTCTTTCACTTTTGTTATGGCGTCATGTTCAAGGCTGGCTACCTGAGCTTATTTGGCCACACCAAGGACAAGAAGCAGGACTTGCTCCAGGCTGAAGAGATATTCATGAAGTTCCGCAGGTTTGACCTTCTTTTCCCCAGGTTTGTCTATTCTTTATTGGGGCCCCGGGAGTGGCAAGAAGTAGGCCACCTCCAGCAGCTCTTTCACGAGCAGCTGTCTGAGAAGCACAGCCAGGAGAAAGAAGGCATGAGCACCTGGATAGGTCACATGCTGCAGTTTCTCAGGGAGCATGGAGTAGCCCCAGTTATGCAGAGCAAGTTCAACTTCATGATGCTCTGGGCTTCCCTGGGAAACACAGGACCTGCCTCCTTCTGGGCTCTCCTGTTCCTCCTGAAACACCCGGAAGCCATGCAAGCTGTAAAGGAGGAGGCCACCCGGGTCCTGGGCAAGGTGAGGCTGGAAGTCAAGCAGTCCTTCACCTTCCAGCTTAGTGCCTTGCAACACATCCCCGTGCTGGACAGCGTGATGGAGGAGACTCTGAGGCTGGGCGCTGCTCCCACGCTCTACCGGGTGGTGCAGGAAGACTATGTCCTGACGATGGCCAATGGGCGGCAGTGCCTATTCCGCCGGGGAGACATCGTGACCCTCTTCCCCTACCTCTCAGTGCACATGGACCCTGAGATCCACCCAGAGCCCACCACCTTCAAGTACGATCGCTTCCTCAACCCCAACGGGAGCCGCAAAATGGACTTTTATAAGGCAGGCCAGAAAATCCACCACTACACCATGCCCTGGGGCTCAGGCGTCTCCATCTGCCCTGGGAGATTCTTTGCTCTCAGTGAGATGAAGCTCTTTGTCCTGCTCATGGTCAACTACTTTGACTTGGAGCTGGTGGATCCTAACACACCCGTGCCGCCTATTGACCCTCGGCGCTGGGGCTTTGGAACCATGCAGCCGAGCCAGGACGTGCAAATCCGCTATCGCCTGAAGCCCCTGGACTGAACTTTGGCCAAGCCGGCTGCAAGACAGACCGAAGGGGCTCCAGGTCCCACTGGCCCCCTTCCCCTCCCTCTGGTTCTGCGGCAACCCTGGGTGCTTCTGTCCTAGTTGATCTCCTGGCTGTCAGGCCTCCCAGTCCTCTCCTTGTCATTCTCTCTTGAAGCCACCACCTCTCCTGCTGGCTTCTGTAAAACCCTCTCACAGTGAAAGCCCTGGGAAGGGGAAAGGGGACATACTATCTTCTAGTGGGTGTATTGTTTAAAAGGCAAAAAAGAAAACATTTGCGATTTGTTGCTTTACTTTACCCCAAAATCAAAATAAGTGTTTCATAACATTTCAGCAGGTGATCAATACCCATGTCTCTTAGTTTACATTCCTTTAAAAAAAAATAAATAAACCTCATGTGTACTTTACACTGGTTGCAGATTAACCACATTCTAGGTGTATTTTAACCTCACATGGCCCTGGTAATGGAAAGCACAGGTCTTAAAAAGGCTGCTTTGTATCATGTCCTCTTTTGAGCTTCTCTCTGCACTCTGCCTTGGGGTGGCCTCCACTCTCCATGGGTTTCTGCACCCATGGCAGCACCTGGAGTTTTTTCTCATTCCCCAGTCGCCTAAAAGTCCCCAAGAACTCAACATCTCTGACAGCTCAGCTCACACAAAATTTGGCCTGTGTCCCCTGGCCTCTGCCCTAAGCCATCCCTGCTCCTGCTTCCCTCTTTCCTGGCTCAAGACACTTCCATCCTAGAAAACAAAGGCACGCTTGCTTCCTCCCTCTGCCTCCCCTACATGAGATCTTGCCCCAGTCCCAGCAGCTCAGCTCCCTGAGAGGCTCCTGAAACTGTTCCCTCCTCCCCACCCCCTCTGCCACTCCTATCCCTGTGATCTTCATCTTTCCCTACAAACCTGTGCTGTTTACCCTTTGTCCAAACGTGTCTCTGGCTGTCACTTTTACTCTCCCAGTTCTCCACTGCTTCAACATACCTAATGTTTACTTTCACCACAGTTTGTCTCCAAATCCCTCAGTCCAGTGCAATTCCTCTTGGCCAACTTTCTTCCTGAAGTAGAGGTGATGTTTTTACCGCAGCCACAGTGCCTTGGAACCTTCTTGAATTTGACCTGTCACATCTTCTACCAGAGATGTCTCATTTCCCTTAGGAGCCCAGCACCATTGCTACTACAGTGCACCTGTCAGATGTCCTTGGTCTTGGTTTCCTACTGCTGCCCTCTGCCTCGGACTGGAGTCATCCAGAGTGTGGCATCTTGATCTCCAGGACCTTAAATGTAGATTAAATTTGAGAAACTTCTAGTCTTGGCTAATTTAGTTCTAATCATTTTCTATTCCTCCAAGTCTTGGCTTCTGGCTGTGAAGAAGAAGATGATCCTCAGTGCCAAACCCAGAGGGGTGAGGGGTGGGATGCTGTTGTCAGAGCCACAATTGGCAGAAGGTAGGGCCCTAGATGGGGAATGATGGTGGTGTCTGAGAGTAAGATGTAGACAAGAGTAAGATGTTGCTGGCCCAGCCAGCATGGACCTCCTAGAAGACTATCCATGAGTTTTCTCTCTGCCACTCCATCCTACATGCCTGAACAACTCCCTCCTTTCTCCTGATGTTGCCTGTTCTGCCTGGAGTTTTCTCAGAAGTGGGCGGGGTCTGAGCTGGGCCCAGGAGTCTATTCCAACTAGCTGTGTGGCCCTGGTGCCTTTTTTGGGGCCTGAGCAACCTTCAAGTGCTGCTATCTTCCTGGAGCCTGCTTGAACTCTGTCTGGCTAGAAGTTAGAAAGACCCACCCCTGGGTTGGAAGAAGAGCCAGAGAAGGAGCATGGGAGAATAGAATGGGAAAACAGGGAGCTGTTTCTGCAGAATTGACCAATGACCCTGCCACACAGCTAGGTCCTGGGTCTGGGTCCAGTGGTGTGCCGGGGAAAGAGCCAGGGCCTTCACACACCTCCGTGGCCTGCGCAAGCCCATGCCAGGGCCCCTCTTTTTCACCACACTTTAAGGGGATGTGAAACAGGAGACCAACCTTTGTATAGGAGACAGCTGGGCTGAAGGCCTGAGTTAGGATGAAAAGCAAAGACTTTGTGTAGATCCCCAAGTAGTTTCATGGACCCAAGGGTCTGCTAGAGAGCCCAGGAGTGCTGAGGTCTGTGCAGTGGGTGCGGATGACATGGAGGTGTGAAAACAGCTCCCTTGTTGGCAAGACTGTGAGGAGCTTCCAGCTGTGTGGCAAGACCTGGCAGATGTCTCTCCAACCGCCTCGACGCAGTGGACACTCAACCACCTGACAGATGTCTCTATGACCACCTGAATGCAGCTCCACCTCCCTTTGCATGGACACTGGACAATGCCATTGAGATTTCTGTAATCTATTTAGGCATTGTCTGCCTCTGTGGAGTTAATGTTTACTACCGACGTGAGCTTGGAAGTTGATGTTGCTGATACTGTTTTAGCCATAGGGCTTAGGGTTTTCCCTCCGCATTGACCATATGTTAATCAAGGGTGCTAACTCCCCCTTTTGATCCTATGCTAATCAAGGGTGTTCTGTCTTCAGGTGTAGTGGGAATCTATGCTTTCCCTCTTTCTTTGATCTTTTAGGTCCCTCCTGTGAAGTTCTTCCTTCCTTGACTATCTCAAGACCAAGCTGTAGAATGAGAATTGTGGTAGGAATGCATTACTGATTGGTTACTGATTGATATGCACCATCTATTGAGAACTTTCTCCTAGCCACGACGCCAGGTGGATAACATCCTAGCCTTAGGTGAAACAAATGGCGGAGTTATCTTTAGAAACACCCACTTGAAAAAGTCTGAGCCAGAGTTTGACTGATTCTGTATAAATAAAGCTGACAGCCCTCCCGCATGCCCCATTATGATGAAATCCTAGTGGTCCGTCTTTTCTTTTCCCTTTGCGCCTCATCCACGCACCCTTCGCTAGTTCCGAACTCACCTGGAGCTGGACTCCGGCACAAAGGGACCCTGGGCAGGACTGACACATGACCTAGTGGCTAACTCCTTTCCTTGAATGTATCAGGATCCCAAGTGGGCACCAGTTTGTGTCCCAGATGCTCTACTTCCCATCCAGCTCCCTACTTGAGGCCTGGGAGGGAGTGAGGAGAAAAGATGCAATAGAGGATGGCCGGAGGCCTTGGGGTTTTACACCCAGAGGAGGTTCCTGGCTCCCGGCTTCAGATCAGCTTAGCTTTGGCCATTGAGCAGCCAGTGGATGAAGAATCTTTCTCTCTGTAGATCTGTCTTTCCAACAAGAAGAAATAAATCTTTAAAAAAATAATAAAAACAACTGGGCCCAGCACTGTAGCCTAGCAGCTAAAGTCTTGTACACATCAGGATCCCATATGGGTGCTGGTTATAATCCCAGCAGCCCTACTTCCCATCCAGCCCCTTGTTTGTGACCTGGGAAAGCAGTCAAGGATAGCCCAAAGCTTTGGGACCCTGCACCTGCATGGGAGACCTGCAGGCTTTGGGCCATTCTCCACTGCTTTCCCAGGCCACAAGCAGGGAGCTGGAAGGGGAATAAAGCAGCTGGAACAAGAACTGACACCCAAATGGGATCCTGGCGCTTGCCCTCAAGGTGAGGGTTTAGCCACTAGCCTATTGTGCCAGTCCCTGGACATCTTTAATATTCCAACCAGACCAACCAAGCAACACACTCCACCCTCCCTGTCCTCAAGCAAACCTGCCACTTCGGGCCCAAGGTTTCGTTTCAAAGAGTGAGGAGTCCTTCCTGACAACGGGAACTCCGAGGCCCTGGGGAAAAGAAAACTAAAACCAGCAGCACTGAAGGAGGTGGGGAGGGGAAGAACAGACAGGGAAAACACAAGTCAAGAACGAGTGAGGCAGTGTCAAGGGGGAAGCAAGGCTCATGGCGAGAGTGCTGAGGCAAGAAGAAGGAGTAAACAGCTCAATTCTCCATCAGTCATTCGTTACAAAAAAAAAAGTACTTGGAGAGCATCTACTATGTTCTAAGCACTGGTGGAAGCATGAGAGATGCAGATTTCACACACAGCTGCCTTGATGCTCGCCTTCACCCAGCCTCTATTCCACTCACCCGCGTTCACGTGCAGAGAGCCCATGTCAAGGCATGAGCAGCTACTGCTCGGCAGTTCCATGTGCAAAAAAAAAAAAAAAGAGTAATTTTAGGAGGAAACAGAGATGGCGCTCTGGGGCTGGGGATCCTTAGGGAAAGGATTCCCGGTGGACCTGTGGCGAGGTGGGCAGGGAGGAGGCCAACTATCGGAGACACGAAGATAAAAATACTCAGACCGACTGGAACATTCAGGAAGCCGCTTGAGGTTGTAAACAACAGGAACACGATCACATGTCAGAAGGAATTTATTGGTTCATGTAACTAACTGGTCAGTCCAGGATCTGGTTGAGCTTCAGCCACACCTTGATTCTGAGCCAAGAACGTTGGCACCCCAGGGCCTTGTGGATGCACCCTTCACCTAAAAGTTCATGTTCATGAAACAGCAGCTCCTAACCTCAGCTCCTCCAGCTTGTTTTATGCCTCTTTTCTAGTAAGTTCTAGTCACTGGCTCTGCCCCAGTCACATGCCATCCCCTGATGAATGACTATGTCCAGGGAAATGTAAGGCTGTAACATGCCTACATTCTGTATTCCACCCAACCTGCACCCAAAGCATAGGGCTGCAGGACCCAGGAGGGATTTTTCCCCCTAGCAAATGGAATTCTCTCACAAGACAATGATGAGAGGATGACTGACTTGAAATGATCCCAACTGTTCAGGGGGGCAGAGAGGAGCAAAGGCAGAGAGGTAGGAAGGTGCCAAAAACTGCAAAGGGTGCCTGATGCCCAGGATATGAAAAGGGAATAGAAGAATATAAGGGTAGGAGGATGTGTAGAATTCTACTTGCAAAGCCCTAGACTTGGAATCAGACAGATTTGGGAGTTGGCTGGTCTCAGGGAGACCTGGAGGCTCTGGGACAGGTCCAGATCCAGGCCTTCCTCCTGCAGACTATATGCAATTCTGGGCTGCTCCTTCTGCCTGCCAGATGGGAGCCACCTCAAGGTTATGAAGAAGGTTCTTTGAACAACACTGGAGCTGAGCTTCAGAGAAGGGGACAGCCTTCTGGGTGGAAAGCCTAAGGCTCTTCTTCCCTAGAAATACCTCAATGAAAGTTACTACAATCTGATTGAAACTTGACTTCCAACTCTTGCAGGAATTTAAACCTCAAAGTCCTATAGTTGATGATACTTGGTGGCCAAATCTTAATCCAATGGTGGTGTCTAGAAAATGCACCTCACAGGAGGTCCTTAGCTCACTAATGATGTTCCCTTGAAAGGTATTTCTTGCAAGCTGGTTGGTGAGGCGGGGTCCATCCTCAGGTCTGCATCTTATTTCATCACATGATCCTCTTCCAGCCCTCCAGTCCTCTCCACCACTGCCTGCATCAGAGGTCAAAACCCAAGCTTGGACTTGAACTTCCCAATTGTGAGCTGACTAAAGCTTTGCTTCTTATAAACTTGGTATTTTGTTATAATGATGGAAACCCAACTAGTACAAGAGTGTTCCTCCTTCTACCTAGACATCCCACAGGTACATTCTGAAAGACTTCTACACACTAGGTAGGTCCCATGTTAGGGACCTGGATACAGCACTGAGCCACACAGCAAGATCCTCATGCAGGGGAGCCATCCTAGAATAGGGGGCTGGAGATGATGACTATTAGTACAACAAACAGGTTAAGAAATCATGAGCATTGTTGAAAACATTAGAAGTAAACCAAAGAAGAGAAGACCAGGAGCATGGAGGGAAGGCAGGTGTTGTCAAGGAGGGTAGGCAGAGAACATCTGACAGGGAAGGAGACAATTGAGCCAAGAACTGAGGAGAGTCACACAGGTACCATGGGAAGAGCAGTCCAGGAAGAGGACACGGCTGGAGTTACCCAGGGTTGAGCCTGGGGTGTTTGGGATACAGCTGGGAGGCCAAAGCAGCCACACGAGGATGAGGCAGGGCAGGGAGATCATGACATCATCCTGGAAGGGTCACTGTAGAGACCTGGGAGGTCACCATGCAGGGGGTGGGAGGAAAGACCCAGGGTTCTGTGGCCACACTGGCTGCTGCGTACAGAGTAACGAACAGGCGAGAGAAATGAACGGAAGCACACAGATCAGTGGAGAAACTAATTGCACGAGTTCAGCGAAGAGAGTGCAGAGCCCGGGAAGTGTGTGAAGAAAGGAGAAGGCAGCAGGGAGGAATGCTGCTGATGGCCAAGAACTGATAGCTGAGCCCTGCGTCTACAACATGGACATTGAGGCCCTCGTGGGGAGCCCAACAGAGCCAGGTTCTACCTGCTCTCACCAGACTGTTTCATAGCCACTCGGAATTAATTATTCCTCACGCCTTCCTTGTTAGGAAAGCCCTCGGCCTGCCGCTTCCCAAGGTCGTTCATGCCAGTAATTTCTTCATGGACAGTGATGCTGCTGCTTTCAGAACAGTTGGACAGTGAGGCCTGGGCAGCGCCAGGTGCCAGATGCCGTCTCAGCACAGTAGCCAGGAAGGTCTTCAGGTACTGGCGGAAGCGGTTACTGGAGAAGGCATAAAGGACCGGGGTAAAGCAGCAGTGAAGGAAGGCAAACGTCTCTGTCACCTGCAGTGCATAGTCCAGGTGCTGGCTGATCTGGCAGTTCCCAAAGACTTGCAGGTCCAGCAATGAGTGCAAAAACAAGGTGAGGCTGTACGGGAACCAGAACAGAAAGAAGGCTACTACCAGGGCTGCAGCCATCCGTAGTGCTCTGCCCTGGCCTGGGGGCCTCAGCCGGACCAGGACACAGCCAATGCGGGAATAGAAGAAGATCATGGTAAGAAACGGGAGGAGGAACCCCAGGAGGTTCTGCTGGAAGCGGAGGAAGAGCTTCCAAGTGGTCGCGTGGCCGCCGAAGTCTGCGTAGCAGCTCCACACACCCTTGGGATTCTCATGGATCTGTACAAAGACTATGTCAGGGACCGAGATTGCAAGGGACACAGTCCACACGAGGGCAGCAAGGAGCAGGCTCTTGGTCCGGGTCCTTAGCCTGTGATGGAGCTGAGCATGGACGATCTCCAGGTACTTGTCCAGGCTCATGCAACTGATGAAAAAGATGCCACTGTAAAAGCTAGTGGTATAGAGAGTGCTCATCATTTTGCACAAGAAATTCCCAAAGACCCAATGCCAGGCCACAGAGATGGCCCAGAAGGGCAGTGTCACCACAAACAGGAGGTTGGAGATGGCCAGGTTCAGCAAATAGACCTCAGCCATCCGCCTGGGAGGCACATAACGCAGCAGGACCACCAGAAGGAGGAGGTTCCCGCCCAGCCCCAACACAAAGAGCAGGCTGTAGAAGGTCGGCAGGAAGACCTTGCTGAAGGACAGCACGGCGTCTTTCCTGCACAGCATGAAGGTCACCTCATCCAGGTAGTCATAGTCGTAGAAGCTGCTGCTGTTCTCAGCACCGTCACCCTCCGTGGTAAGTGGCCAAGAGGAGGCAGTGGTGGCCATGTCAGGAAGATGCACCTGGTCCTGGATTTCTGCAGGGGCATTAGAGGAAAAACAGGATCACATTTTATAGTCTCGACTGCCATGGACGTCCAGGACACCCTTCCAGCAGACAGCAGCACCTGCAGTCTTACAGGAGCACTGGGCCAGCCAGCCCTACCACTTCACAGTTGTGTCACCCTTAGTAAGTGACTCATCCTTCAGATATTCTCAGCTGTTTTCAACTCTTTCAATGTGCTTTCACTTCTTGATTTTTCTCTCTCATCATTTAAAGAAGACTTCTAAAGACTTTCAAATTCTTCTTCATTATTCCAGGATATCAGTTCACCTACCTATTGGATTTCCTTACTCTTCCTTATGTGTGGTTTATACTTTTCTTTTTCCGTAGCATATAATTTGTTTTTTAGTGAGATTGCCACTTCACTGAATCTTATTTTATCTATAATAAAGTTATAGACAAAACTTGTATCTATAATTTATTTATTTTATCTGTCATTTATCTAGACTTTATCTATAGTTTATCTAAAACATCCACTCCGGCTTTGAGTTCTCTGTACTTCTGTTCCCCTCATTCTTGAGAGTTTTAAATATTTTATTTATAATTTAGCTTTTACATCAATGTTTTTCTTTTTTTTAGATTTTTTTTTAATTTTATTTTTTTTATTGGAAAGGAGGATATACAGAGAGGAGAGACAGAGAGGAAGATCTTCCGTCCGATGATTCACTCCCCAAGTGAGTGCAACGGGCCGATGCTATGCCGATCCGAAGCCAGGAGCCTCTTCCGGGTCTCCCACGTGGGTGCAGGGTCCCAAAGCTTTGGGCCGTCCTCAATGGCTTTCCCGGGCCACAAGCAGGGAGCTGGATAGGAAGCGGGGCTGCCGGGATTAGAACCGGCGCCCATATGGGATCCCGGGCGTGCAAGGCGAGGACCTTAACCACTGTGCCACCGCGCCGGGCCCAATGTTTTTCTTTTTAATCATATTTCAGTTTACAGCAGAAAAGTGAGATCCATCCAACCTTCTCACATACTTAGAACCTACTAACCCTTTTCATCTCTCAGTTTTCCCATTTGCAAAAAGAAAATCAAATTACCTAGCTCTTGGAGTTTCCTGTGATATGAAACGGGGAACTACCTACAGAGTACCCCAAGTTCTACATAGGGTGCGTGAGAACACAGCAGGCATTCACAAGGTGTTAGCTTAAACCACTGCCTGGCCCGGAACTGAGTCCAGCACCTCCCGTCACCAGCATCCTGTTCTCCCTGTGTGACTGAACACCACCACTCAGTCACTTCCAACTGAAACACAGGTAACATTCCAGATCGCTTCCTGCTCTCTCCTCTCCACCCTCGGAGCCTCTGTTCTACAATCTGTCCACTTCCCTCCACGCGCCATGACATATATTCAAGATACTCTTTTTAATAAAATTAAGGCCAATAAAACTGAAAACTAGATTTTGGAGGAGGACACAAGGATGAAAGGGAAGGTGGCAGAATGACAGACACTTGATTCAAGAGGGCAGCTGCCTGAGCAGGAGAAGCCAGGAGCATGGAATGCGGACAGATCACAGAGATGGGACAAGTTGTACCTGTGATCAAGTTTCTTCCCAACACGCTACTGGTTCTCAAAAGACATTTTTCACACATTACAAGTGGCAGATTTTGCAGCTGTATTTTTTAAATTGATAGTTTTACACCTTTGGAGTACAACTGGTACTGAAATGTGTATCTAATGCGTGTACTGATCAAATTGGGGTAATTGGTATATTCATCATCTCAAACACGGATCGTTTCTTTGGGATGAGAATCTTCAGGATTCTTCCTTCTAGCTACCTTGACATGCGTAATAAACCCTTGCTAACGGTCATCACTCGGTTGTGCTGCGGAGCCCTCACTTCTCCTCAGGGCACTTGTGTACTCTCTAACCAGCGTCTCCCCCTCTTCCCCTCCACCCTTCCCTGTTCTTCACCGTTGTGTTCTCAACTTCCTTATTTCTAGCTTTCTGAGGAAATTCCATGATGTTTTCAGTAATGTCTGTACTATTTTACGTTTCCAGCGCCAGTAACGAGACCTTCCCTTTCTACGCATCCTCACCAGCATCTGTTGCTTTCTGCTTTTTCGATCGCAGCTATTCCACTTGTACTGTGGTGACACAACATTATAATTTTGATCTACATTTCTCTGATAAATTAACGATGTTGGACATTTCTTCATGTCCTTCTTGGTCCTGTGTATCTTATTTTCAGAAACGTCCGTTCATATCATTTGCCCATTTTCCAATTAAATTATGTGGGTTTGGGCATTTGGCTTAGTTGACTTTCTCGTGTCATGTGGACATTACTCTCTGCTGCTCTACAGATTCTTCTCATTCCATCTCCTTTCTTTTGCAGGAGCCTTTGATTGGATGTCAGCCCACTTGTTCTTTTGCTTTTGTTGTCTATGCTTCTTTAAAACAATATTGAAAAGGTAGATTTACAGAGAGAAGAAAAGATGGAGAAAAAAAATCTTCCATGCACTGGTTCATTCCCCAAATGGCTGCAATGGCAGGAGCTGAGCCGATCTGAAGCCAGGAGTCTGGAGCCTCTTCCGGGTCTCCCATGTGGCTGCAGGGTCCCAAGGCTTTGGGCCGTCCGTTACTGCTTTCCCAGGCCACAAGCAGGGAATTGGATGGGAAGTGGAGCAGCCAGGACAAAAACCAGTGCCCATATGGGATGCTGATTCTTTCAAACGGAAGGATTAGCTAAGTGAGCCATTGCACTGGGTCCTATTGTCTAGGCTTCTGAGATACCATCCAAAAAATCTTTGCCCAGACCAATATAATGAGGCATTTTCCTTACATTTTATTCTATGGCTCCATAGTTTTTGGTGTAGATTTTAATCAATTTTGAGTTAATTTTTCTGTGGGGGTCTGATTGCATTCTTAGACATATGGATATCCAGTTTTTCCACTTTTAAAAAAGATTTACTTATTTTTATTGCAAAGTCAGATAGATACAGAGAGAAGGAGAGATAGAGAGAAATACCTTCCGTCCAATGATTCACTCCCAAGGTGACCATCATGGCCAGTGCTGAGCCAATGCGAAGCCAGGAGCCAGAAACTTTCCTCCAGGTCTCCCACATGGGTGCAGGGTCCCAAGGCTTTGGTCTGTTCTTGACTGCTTTCCCAGGCCACAACCAGGGAGCTGGATGGAAAGTGGGGCTGCCGGGATTAGAACCGGCGCCCATATGGGATCCTGGCATGTTCAAGGCAAGGACCCCAGCCACTAGGCTACAGCACTGGGCCCAGTTATTCCATTTTTTTTTTAAGAGAGAAAACCTCACATGAACCAGTGAACATGTGCTCACTAGTTCATGAACTAGCAACCATGTTCAATTTCTCTTGTGTTAGAAAAGAGAGAAAGTCCATATTCAGCATAATAGATTGAATGGAGAAGGGGTTTTATGGAGGCATGGGCAGAATCACCAAAGGGAATGTGATAACAATGGGCTATAAACTGAGGAATGCAAATCAACTACACCAAGTACTTCTTCACTTTAATTTTTGTTCTTTGATTCAAGTGACATTGAACTTTTAAAAAAAAAACATGTTCAATTCGAATTTGCATTTCTTCTGTGAATTCTTGACTGTTTTATAAGAGGTCTTATTTAATAGGGCTATTCATGTTTTTCACGACTCTAACAAACATTTTCCCCCATCCTTCCCTGCAGAAGTTTGTTCTTGTTGACAAAAAAGAAATGCTAACTCAGGTAAAATTTTGCAAGAGCTGGTGCCCAGGGAGGGATCCATTTGATTCTGTCCGTACCCCGGGGCACTCTGACCTCCCAGCTGATGGACATAACCAAGGCTGCTCAGGCACAGCCTCCCACTCCACAAGCATCTAAATGCCCACCCTCGGTGGACCAGGTCTGGACAGTCACATGCCTACCCCATACCCACCCCAGCAGTCCAGTGTGGGTGGGGCATGCTTATCTGCGGCAGAGCTCTGCTCCTGATTACCCTCAGAAAATTCACCCAGCCTTTGCTGATCCTCCCCTTCTCTCCTGGACACCTGCAATGCCCTGACCATTTCTGGACCCTCCCAGCCCTGCCTGGTATTGGGAGCCCACAAGCTTCTTACTTTGGGCCTCACTGGGGCTTGTTAGTCAGGGTGACAAAAATTAAGCAGAGCTTTCCAGGGCTGTCGGCACAGGCCCTTGATCTTGACTCGATTTCTCAAAGTCCCTGACTTTTGCTTTAGCAAATAACTGAGACTGACAACTGTTTAAATTGAAATCAGGGGTCAGGGTCAGCAGACCCTGGGCTGGCCCAGGCCTCTTTTGAAGCTCCCCTCTCCTATTGGAACACTCTGCCCCCTTTCCTATCTGGGGCCACCAGCCTCCTGATTTTTCACTCTGGGAACCTTTCCAGATTCGTTCACTTCTGGAACAACCATGCCCTTGCATCATTTTCACCACTCACAGTGATTACAATAACATAACAACCAGTGCATGTACACATGTGCGCGCACACACACACACATTCCACCTGACATTTGTATCTGCTGTAGTATTCCTGTAAGGCAAATCCAGAAGGAACTGTCAGCCCCATTGGATCCAGGAGAAAAGCAACTTTTCCAGGGTCACATAGGAAGTCATAGGCCAGCAAGGGATTAATGTCCAGATTATATAAGAAACTCAGATAAATCAACTAATTCAATTTGAAAATAGGCAAATAATCTGAACAATCACTCAGCTGTGCTATGGAGCCCTCATTTCTCCTCAGTACAGTAGTGTACTCTCTAACTAGCATCTTCCCCCGCTTAAAAAATGACATACAAATGGCCCACAAGGACATGAAAACACTTCCAGCGTCACTAACCATGTACGGAGGGCTCAGTGAGCCTCCTTGCAAACTGCAGCTCCCCGCAATAGCAGAATAAGGAGTTCCCAGAGATGTCTAAGCCCTCATTCCCAAGCCATGGGACTTTGTAGATGTGATCAAATCAAGGCTCCTGGGATGTAGTCACCGCTCAGTGTAGCCACCAGGGTCCTAAC